GAACGGCAACATGCCGTTCCCCTCTTTCATGACGGCCGTGTCGGGGCTACCCGGCACCGACCGCCATCGAATCGCGACCGAGTCCCCCGCCTGCCCGTTATCAACAGCCCAATATGGGCTGTCTCTCGGGGGGCGGTGGGGCTCGGACACGATCGCCAACGTGAAACCACCCCCCACCATGCTCTGGTGGAGCAGATCCTGAGCCTGCGGGGAGTGGTTTACGTTGGCCTGTATAAGGCCAAATCCGTTCAGGTTCGGGCGGGGGGAGAGCGAGGCATTACTCAGCCTTATTATCCCCCCCGTCCGATAGGGCCTCGACCTCCATGACCTCTGGTGGAGGTGAGGCCCTCTTTCTCGGCGTCTCCCTTTTTTTTTTTGACGGAAAGGGGAAAAATGCTTTATGCATTCGACACGGGGCAGCCGAACCCCGTGGATATGCCCGGACTCGCCGTGAAGCGGGATACCAGGCTAAAAAACCCCTCTCTTGGACCTTCCTCCGCACTATAGGAGAGTCACCCCGGCAGACCCGTCGAGGGCATTACGTCGGAAGTGACCCGCCCGACAGTGACAGGCTTTATAACCTCCAGCCACAGGCGGCTTACGACACGCCCACCGTCCTAACCATTCATACATATATACATATATTCATACATACATATTCTCAGTAGATGTAAACACACTCATTCATACTTCTCTCCTTGTTAGGACGGCGGAGTGGGATGGTCCACGCGACAATAGGCGCTCTAGCCAGATGGGAAAAATGTATAAGTAACTCCCTTAGAGCAAGGGCTAGGTGCCTCCCCCCATTAGGACAACCACATGCCTGCTACTGTAAACACTATTATACCACAACACATGCATTATGTACATACAAGCAGGACCGACGTGATGCAACATTGGTAACAGAAAAGTCCTACCGCTATATTGTTACAAAGTCGCCCCTCTTTAAAACGCTAACGCATTTAACAAAATTACGTTGCGTGAGTATGTATATAGGCCGCGCAAGCCTCGCGCGCAACCTACTCTCTCTGTGCCAGGGGCTCACAAATCTGTTCCCGAGGCAAATATAGTCAAACAATCATAAGTACATGTTCGCATATATATATTAGTTATTTATAACTACGCAATCTAGGGTGAGTCCTCTACATCTGCTGGCTCACCTCCACCATTGGCCTCTCGGGCTCGTTCCGCGTCTTCCTTCGCCAACATGACTGTCGAGCAGTACCTCGAGAAGGCGGCCCACCTTTCCTTGCTCGATAGAATCGCCTCCACCACCAGGATTAGAGAGAGCTCTTGGACACCAAGGGCCGCCAGCAGCTCCTCCCTCTCAGTATCCCAAGCCGGGCACTCGGCCAGGGTGTGCAATGCAGTGTCCTCTGCTTCACCACAATGTGGGCAAGAGGGATCGTTGATTTTCCCGATTTTGTATAGGAAGGCCCCGAAACATCCATGATTCGTCATCAGCTGGGTGAGGTGAAAATGGACTCTCCCCCATTGCCTGTTCATCCACAGCGACCAAACCGGAACAATGGCCGCTCTCGTCCAGACGCCGGGTAAGTCATCGTTGTCCATGTAGAGCTTCCACTGCCTCATCGTCAAGATGTGTTCCTCATGTCTAATGTCCAGAATGGCATCCCTACTCGCCATGCCAAGCTCTCTCAGATCGCATATTCTATTGTATATGCGGGATCTTTCTCCTGCAGCCAGCCACCACGGGATCTGCCTTGAGATCAGGGTGGCCGCATCAAATGACACAGTTCTGTACGCCGCACAAACCCTAATCGCGACAGATCTCTGTGCCGCGCGAAACAGGTTTTGACTTCTCTTAGAGGCGCACAAGGCCCCTGACCATATTGGCGCTCCGTAAAGGGCCACCGATGCCACCACACTAGCATAGAGCTTGCGCTTATTCTCGCGGGGGCCCCGAAGGTTCGGCATTAGGCGACTCAGTGCCTTAGTCACCCTGGCGGCTCTGCCGCAAACCTGTCTAATATGTTCCTCGAATGTTAGCCGCGAATCGAGAATCACCCCCAGGTACTTCATCCAGGGGGAGACCGTTATCAGGCTATTCCTGACTCGTAAAATAGGTTCCTGAGGAATACGCACCCTCGACTTCCTGAAAAGCACCGCTCTAGTCTTATCCGGTGCCACCGTCAGGCCGAGCGAGTCCAGCCGGCGGAGCACCATTGTCACTTGATCGTTCACTCGCGAACACATCACTCCGATTGTTTTCGCAGTTCCCACGATCATAGTATCGTCCGCGTAACAAAACACCGCGCAGCCATCTTTCGCCCTTGCCTCTAAAATATAGTTAAAGGCGATGTTCCACAACAGCGGTCCCAGCACGGAACCCTGTGGGACTCCACGCGTGATGTCCCTGCGGGCAGTCACACCATCACAGGTGTCGAACTCCACGGATCTCCGGTGAAGGTAGCTATCTATAATTCGTCGAAGATACTCCGGGAAACCCTTACGCTCCAAGGACCACCGGATCGTCCCCCATGGAAGTGAATTAAAGGCATTTTTAATGTCCAGACTAACGGCTATAGCGAAACCGTTCCTATCTAGTCCTTTTTGAACGGCATCGAGTACAGCGTCTAGAGCGTCCACCGTGGAGCACCCCTCTCTGAAGCCAAATTGGAGGGGCGAGAGCCGAGCACCCGCCGATTCCTCCATGTGGGCTTTGAGCCTTGCTACGATAACTTTTTCGAAGGTTTTACCAACCTCATCAAGCAAACATATGGGGCGCGCCTTAATTTGGGGACCCACCGACTCCTTGGGAATTAATACAAGTCTAGCCCTCTTCCATCTACCCGGGAAAACTCCCGCTTTTAGGCAGGCTGTATAAACCACAGCCAGCCTATTGGAAGCGATGTCCGCGGCTCTCCTCCATATGACTGCTCCAACTCCATCCGGGCCCGGGGCAGGATTCGACTTCTTCCTGCTTGATCGCTCGAAAGACCTCCAAGGCGTTAACGTGGTCCGCAGCCATGAAGCGTTCCCCGCTCCATTCGCACCAGATCTCCTCAGGGGAGTGAGTCTCCCCCTCCGGAAACAATGAGTCCAGCAACTCCTCCAGAACATCCCGACCAAGGGTCTCCGAAAGAGCAGGGGATGACCTCCGAAGACGGTTCATTACCATTCTGTATGGCAGGCCCCACAGATCCTCCTCGACTCCTAGCAGAAGCTCCCTCCATGCGTTGGCTTTTGCTCTACGGATCTCTTTTCTCAGCTCTCTCTTGGCGGCTCTATAGGCTCGGTCCAACTCATCGTTTAGTCTTCCCGACGATCTCGCCCTCGTATATTTCCTACGGGCCGCAACACACGCTCTCCTGGCAGCAGCAACTTCTTCGCTCCACCAGTACGCCGCCTTCTTCAGTGGACGAGTACTGGACCTTCTTGCTGCCACGTCGCACGCATCAGAAATCCACGCCCCTATGTCTTCAGCCAAACAGTCCGGGGTCCGGTCCGCATCGAGCCCAGAACTGAGAACCTCGAACGTGGATGTCAGGAGCTCCACATCTAGGCCCTTCAACGACCAGCGAGGGTACGACTTCTTACATCTAATATTTATGTTACCTACACTATTTACATTATTTACAATGGTGAACGCGATTAGTCTATGGTCGGATAATGTTTCCATGTCGCACATCACAGATCAGTTCCTGACTCGACCCGCGTACTGGGCCGAGGCCCACGTCAGGTCAATTATAGAGGAGCCCTGAGGGCGCACGCAAGTTGGCCTGTTCCCCCTATTACATAGGACCAGATCGTGTTGGTCCGCCAGACCGAGGAATATTTCACCCCTGCGATTGTCAATGGAGGACCCCCAATATGTAGACTTAGCGTTGAAGTCTCCACAGAGAATGACGGGGTCCCGAGCAGCGGCTACCGCGTCCGACAGTCTGTCAGTTATCTCAAGGAAGCTCGCAACGTTAATGTTTGGGGATATGTACACAGATATGACCCGCACATTTCCGAACCTCACACCGACAATGTTATTAGATCGATGAAATACGACGCAGCCGGGCCCGGTAAGTGCCGGGTTCCACACTATAGCCGCTACTGAGTCTAAGCTCGAGACCCAATGAGCATTATCCGTAGGGACCCGCCATGGCTCGGCAAGGCAGCAAATGCCTATACCGTTTTCAAGCACACAATGCATCATCAGATCCTGAGATGCCCGACTATGGTTAACATTAATTTGATAGAGCCTAAGGGCCATTAGTCCGTCCAGGAGGTCCCGCCCTCCGATCGCGGGTCCGAACACTGGGCCAATTGTCTGTGTCTAGTCTATGATCCGGATTTAATCCCTTATCCCGACACACCACGCAGCACGATGGGGAAGAACACTCCTTCAGCGCATGACCCTCTCCTCCGCAATTAAAGCATGCGCGCTTTAAATTCTTTCAATTGTCGAACGGCAACCGCCCCTCACGTGGCCGAAGTCCCAGCACCTATAGCACTGAACCGGGCGCTTCTTGAGGAGAGTTATCCTAGCCGTAGTCCATCCAACGCTGCAGGATCCCGCCGCTGCCAGGCGGTTTGCCGCCACAAGAGGGCACTGCACCCAGGCCGAGCATAAGCCGCTCGGCGATCCCCTGAATGCGCTGACCCTAATATCTCCAGACATACAGCCACCAGCATCAGCCAGTGCCATCAGCAGCTCGTCCGGAAGGACAGAGTTATCCAGTCCACTTACTCTCAGCTCTCCCTTGGCCATGGGACGCGACACCACCGCATCCGAGCCGAGAAAGCCTCTCAGCCTCTCGGCCAGGGCATCAGCCTTGGCAGAGCTATCCTCACCGGGGATTTCTATTAAGTATCCTCCATTTGCAGCCATCCTGATACGCGGCCTCACAATTCCCAGGTCCCCGATACTAATTCCTTGCCTAGCTTTCTTAAGGAGCTCCGCCTGTGGCCTCTCCTCCGTCGCTGACCTGAGAGCGACCGCCGCAGATCTAGGGACGCGGCGGCGCTGAGGGCCATTCCTTTTTTCGCTAGTCCTTCCTGGTCCATTCGTCCGTGGGCCAGAGTGTCCGTCCTCCCTCCTTACGTTTCTATTCGTCGCGCGCGAGCGGGGGGCGGCCCCCTCAGTCAGGCTCGGTCCGCCCCCTCCTTTATCCTTTTTCCGCAGGGCCACGTCCCTATACGAGACCAAGTCACGGCCATCCGACGATACGACGACCTCAGAGTCCGTGTCCAAGGCCGCCCTTGTGACCACCATGGGGGGGCGGATCTGTATATCCTCCACAATCCTCGGGACGCCCCTCCCCCGGGGCAGCTGCGGTGGCGGCGGGCCACCGCTCACAACTCTCTCTTTCAGAGCCGCCAGGTCCCTTTGAATATGCCTCAGATTGCCGATCTCGTTGTTCAGGATGACCTCGTAGCCCTCCAGTCTCTTGTTGATGTCCGTCGTTGATTCATCAGCGTCCGTAGCAGCGGAGGCCTCCGTCAAGACGCGGGACCTAGTTCCATATTTGCTCGGGGCACGGGGCCCCTCCACCACGACCGATGGCCGTTCCCTCGCAGAGGCCGTCGTCACCTTGTCCTCCCTGGATGTGGACTTGGACCCAATACGCTCCCTCAGAGCGCTCAATTCAGCGTTTAAATCCGAGGTACGCTTCCGCGACTCCTCCAAGTTCTTTCTCAACTGGTCCTCCGTTTCCTTGGCCTTTTTCAGCTGTTCTTCAAGGTCGTCCATCCTCCGTTGCAGGAAGGGAACGTCGCCGGCGTCCTCCACCCTCTCAGAGAAGACCGCGATAACGTTTTGGAGAGCCTTAATTCGATTCCCCATCTGACCCGAGAGTGTACCCTTGATATTTTGGCTTGTTTTACGTGCGCTCTCTATTCCTCCCAGCCACGCCTTAGCCATAGACGCAATTTCCGCCGCAGAGCAGGTCGCGAGTGCCTCCTCAGACTTCATCACCTGTTTCAGGACCTCCGAGCCAGGAGACCCCAGATCGGGCCCCGGTTCGGGCTCAGATCGGATCGAGTTTCCATCCTTTTTTGTTTCTTCTTTTTTTGTCTTCTTTTTCTATTTTTATTTTTATTCTTCTTCCGCCCTGGTGGAAAACCGTCCGTCACAGGACTCTCTTCGGATGACACGACAATCACCTCGCCAGCGGGACGATCACCCGACCCCCCCTCAGACAGGGAGTCGTCCGATATAGCCCGCGGACGAGTCTTCCGGCCCTTCACAACGGGCTCAGAGTCCGACGAGATCGCCGCCAACGAGGCCGCTCCCGGTGACTCAGAGGAGTCCCTCTTCCTTTTGGCCGGGGCATCGGCCACCAACCTCATCGAGCCATCCACCACGCCAAATGAAACGCCCGGAAGGTGACCAATATCTCCAGAGGCCGCCGCCTCCTCCACCGCAGACGAGGGCACGAAAAGTGGGTCCTCTTCGTTAGATCCCTCGCAGCTGAGCATCTCGGCCGTACTGCCACCCTCCTCGTGGGCAGAAAGGGCCAATGCTCCACCATTATCTCCATCGCTTATCCCCTTGTTTTTTGACAGCACGGTAAGCTCCTCGGGGCAACCAATCCCGAGAAGCCCGTCCGGGGAAACGCCGTGCCGGTTGTCGGTGTTCCGATTCACCGACTCTTTCTCTTGTTCTGTGTTCATTGCCGCATAGGGGGTACACAGCGCAAGAATCTCGAAAACCGGGGACAGTCCATTGCCATAAGATCGTTGCTCCTTGAATCGTAGTCCGTGGTCAGGCGGTTGTACCGAAGATCCGTCCGAAAGTCCAGTCAGACGCCGACACGACGTCTGGGCTGGAGGACCCCCACGTAAAAACCGAGCGAAATACACGGTCGATGTGGAGGGCACCCGGATCCTCCACACAAGCCTATATACAGTAGGGGGACGGTCGGTGCCCTACTGGGACCGTTCGCGACCACAAAATTAACGTCCCTGTGGCCATGCCCCTCGGCACGGTGCCTCACACCTTAGGACGGAGATTCCATGGTACTGTAAGTTCAGCACCATGGACTTCCTACTTCGATATAAACAAAGGCATTTTCCTTTGCGCATCATCTATATATATCGGCTTACGTTCTTCTACTATGTACAGTCAGTAACGCTTGTCGATATTCCGACCTCGAGAAAACGGATCTCAATAAAAGCAGTACACCATTGCGTAGAGGATCCCCCATTAACAAGCCGGGGCTTGTAACAGCCAGTCAAGCTAAGATTCCGCAATTTGTACAAAATATATATACAAGTATGCCTAAATATAAATGTATCGCGTCTATTTACATCTATTTACATCTATTTACAGAATCAGACGCAAGACTACGCTCAAATCGCGTCCACAACGCACCCACTATATACAGTATACCGTTCTCAGTCAATATACACGTTATTGACGCGAAACGTCTCTCTTAGATTCCGGGTATCTATATCTCATAATACCTCGCAGCGCTCTAAGTGGCAAACATTGCTCATCTCACATGCTACGCGACAAATCTACACGACAGATGCATCCGTCGAACCACCCATTGCATCCTTATAGCATAATTATCGCTCGGTTATAAACTGCTATTCCGCATATCGACGTTGACGCAGCTCGTCACCATAGGTCGCTCTCCGTCGGGGCGACACTACGAACGAACAGACTCGACCGGGATCGGTCGTCCGTGCAACGAAATAAGTCTCTTTGAAGAAATTCCTCTCACCCACGCGGGAGTCCGGCACGCCACACACGCCGACGGCCGAAACGACCCGCCGCAAGAATCTCACGTCTACATAGTTCATGCGCAGGATTAATACGTATTCTAGAATACCTCACGGCGCTCCGCACGACGGATAATACCGCCCCTCGCATCTATACATGGACACTACCGAGTGCTGTTCGCGGGACGACACCGCACAAGAGCAGACCCAGATCAGTTTTTCAATCTGTGCACGAGCACGTCACTGATACTACTAACACGATTAGAATCCCACACCATACGATTCTCAGTCAGAATACGTGCTATTGACGCAAAACGCCCCTCTTAGATTCCGCACGCAAGTCTATTGTGCATTCCAGAATGCTTCGCGACGCTTTACGCGACGGATAAGTCCGTCTCTTTACACGGGATCAACGGCCGAAGAGAACGGACCGCGATACAGAACTTAAATTACAGACCAATCGTCCGTCGCCTTGAACTAAATCAAGCCTACTATCCGATAAAGATAGCACCTCTATGTACTATATAATACGCGCTCGAGCCAGTTTACTGCGTATCTTACACGCTACACGACAGATCTACACGGCGGAAACATCCGCCGAACCATCTGAGTCCGTCGGTCACGGAGAAAATAGACCGCGGCAACTAATCTTCACATAAAATGATCAGACCGATTGTCCGTCACTATGAATTACCTAGTTATTACGCTTGACAGGGGGACACCACCCCGCCTGTCATAATTCACACGCAAGTCTATCCCGCATTCTCGGGTATTTCGCGACACCCTACGCGACTGATAAGACCGTCTCCGTATACACGCTTATACTTGAGGCCTACTCTTTTTAAGATGCGACCGAGCCGGAGCTCCCCGGACCAGCGACAACGAGCCGAACCGCGTGACAAGTCACCGGTTACGAGGCTCGTGCCACGATCGTGAGGGAGGCACACGGCCAGCGCATCATTCAAAATGCGTCACGGTTGGAGAAAGCCGTGACACAGCCACTATGATATCCCACTATCGAATGTCCCGACACGCTATCTGACCTGCTTATGTAGCACGGCCCACCGAATCTTGAGCCCGAGAGAGCGCCAGCAGCCCCACGCCACGTAGCGGCGCGCTCCCGAACCCAGCGACGCAGTTACACCTCGCCCCCGTCGGGCGCAGTGCGGGAGAACCTAACCCCGACCGCAAATCCGTTGACATAAAGCCACCCTATTCCTTAACCTCAACCTGTCGTGGACGTGCCGACACCGTACGTTTCATACGCGGAGCTACTTAACCTCCAACTACCGCGAACGCACCGCCACCACATACCCCGCAAGCAGCGAGCGACACGAGAGGCACGATTTTATACAGAGCGCGACACTCTAACCTCACTACTAACCTAGGCGGCTCGAGGCCACCCGACTATATAGTCCCGATGCCCAAGGCCCGGGCCGAAGGACCCGAAGACGTAGCTCGCTCACAGCCGAGCACTGCTCCCGTCAACGAATACACACGACTCTAACCCCAAAGCAAGTCGAATCTATCCCGACATACAAAGTC